TAACTGCCTCCATTAGCATTTGAATTGACCTCTAGCTGATTCTGCTGGTTATAATGCTTGGGGAAAGGGATTTCTACCTAGAAATTGATCTGCCTTAGTTTCCCAGGATCTTCTCACTAGTGGGCTTTCCTCCCATTCCTCCCATAGTGGACGATGACTCAAGACAGACAAAGGAGGGGTGCCTCTTTGCAGAGACCTTTCAGATGCTTGCCTTGGAGAACTTAGCCTTAGTGGTTCAGCGTTGTGACTTGCGACTGGCAGCTATGCCAGTGCCACCATTGACCGTATGTTCTCCGTGGAATCGCAGGCAGCCCACTCGAGCTCCGTGACTTTAGAGGGACTTTAAGAGTGCCAGGTCGTGGAGCTACAAAATCACACCCGACAGGAGGACCTATCAGGGTGCTCATACACACACATTCACACAGAGGTTATCACATTCCTCCCCCAGTCCCCCTAGAGATTTCCAAGGGAGCATACCTTCACAGCAGATCTTCCACAGATTGCCTCCTTTATCCGAGCCACAAGGTTTGGAGAGAAGGAACCTCTTGGGGGCCAATCCACACCAAAGGAAGGCCATTCTGATGAACAATAATTGTCAAACCTACCTTTCTTGATCATCAAGTCCAGATCCTGAGCTTTCCTGTGGATCTCAGAGGAGTGATCAAGAATTAAAGCATTGGGGGTCGATTGATTTTGACCCGTATCAAACAATCTTAACAAAGATAATAAGACAAATACACACACTAAGGACACACGCACAGATCACACTCCTGCACTCGCTCGGACCGGTCCACTCTCTCACACGGGTTCGCACCACACTCACCAGTCACCCTGGGACTCCCGAATATGCCCAAAGGGCGTGCACGTGATTTTCACCTCCGGAGGGTTTAGTTCTTCCAGGTCTTCTCCTGGTGTCGGATTTTCCAGAACAGATGAGGCCTCCAGAACAGATGAGGGCTGAGGAAACCCTATGTCCCCCCAAGTCCTCCCAGTCAGGGTTGGCCACTTCCCTGCCGCGGTCCAGTACAGATGAGGCCTCCAGAACAGAAGAGGACCCGAGGAAACACTATGTCCCCCCCAAGTCCTCCCAGTCAGGGTTAGCTACTTCCCTGCCGCGGTCCAGAAGGGGACACCATCCCCCCCAGAAAACAGATGGAATATTCCCCAGAATTTTTTTTAAGGCCTTTTCAAAACCCGCTCTCTGGGCCCGTTTGCCGTCAGGAGATCTCGCTGGGGCCTCCAAATGTTAGGGCGCAGATCGTGATCTCCCTTTAACGACAAAGAGACTCCAGAGACTGCGAACAGCAAGCAAGGTTTATTGTAAGACTGGCTAGCCAGGGTCAAGCCGCCTACACAGACACGCAGGTCAGTTAGGTGAGGCAAGACCCAGAACTTCTTCAAAGGGGATCTTATATAGGCCTTCACTGGCCGTTACAGCAAAGCCCGCGCATTTCATAGCCAATAGATTTGTAACAACATATGCTTTCTTAACCAATGCAATTAAGGGTACATCACTTCTTAGCCTATAGTTTAAAGATCAGCATTTTGCGTCGGTGCTTAGGAACTGACAGGTTTTTAAGGCAGTCGTGGGTCTTGCAACATGGGTCTTGTGAGAGACATCCGGTTATCTGGTCTGACCCCCACCCTTCGAGTACCTGTATCTGAATTCCTTGCTCAGGGGCAGAAAAACCAGCTATTTTGCAGTGCAGGCTCCTATAAAGTGGATCTGAAAAAGCTTATCTAGACCTGTTCCTTGAAAAACAAGTTATTTTGCAATGCAGGTTCCTATTAAGCTAAGCTAAATTAATTCTGGTGGTAGTCCATTTTGAGTCTGTCCCTCACACCCATCACTTGAAGCTGTCAAGACTCACCACTTTTCACCACTTTCATTCTTTTTTTCTTTTTTTTGCTTTTTGGGTCACACCCTGCGATGCTCAGGGGTTACTCCTGGCTCATGCACTCAGGAATTGCTCCTGGCGGTGCTCACGGGACCATATGGGGAGCTGGGAATCGAACCTGTGTCGGCCATGTTGGCTGCATGCAAGGCAAACGCCCTACCCACTGTGCTATCACTCTAGCCCCGTCCACTTTCATTCTTTATTCTCACTCTGGCTTGGCTCAGGAAGGATGTGGGAGCAGAGAAAGAGAAGAATAAGTAATCAGACGACATCATGGGCTTCTGCAACATAGGAAAAGCCAAAAAAAAAAAAAAGTGGGTTTAAGGACCCATTGTTCAACCTTTTATTTTTATGTATTTATTTTTGTGTGTGTGTTTTTGTTCAACCTTTTATTTATTTATTTATTTATTTTGGTAGGAGTACTGCTATTTACTCAGCCACTGATTAGCTGATTGAATTGGGCATGTTGTTCAACCTTTTAAATGTTTCGCTGTATAATTTGTCATTGCGATTGAGCTTTTTTTTTTTTTTGCTTTTTTTGGTCACACCCAGCAATGCTCAGGGGTCACTCCTGGCTCTGCACTCAGGAATTACTCCTGGCGGTGCTTGGGGGACCATATGGGATGCTGGGAATCGAACCCAGGTTGGTCGCAGGCAAGGCAAACGCCCTACCCGCTGTGCTATCGCTCTGGCCCTGAGCTTTTTTTTTTTTTTTAACTTGGTAAGCTTTTGTTGTTTTTATATTTGGGGGGCCACACCCTGCAGTGTTCATGGCTAATTCCTGGCTTTGAACTCAGGAATCATTTCTCCCAAGGAACAGGGGACTCTATGGGGTGCTTGGATAGCTGGGTCAGTTAAGTGCAAAGCACGCGCCTTCTCTACTTTAGTACAAGCCCAGAAATAGGGAAAAAATGAACCTTTCTGACCAGAAAGTACCTCTTCAGTAATAGTTGGGACCTGGCCCTTTAAGGCTCTGTCTGAAAATGCAGGTGACATCACAGAATTCGGGTCTTTCTCCCAGGGGTCTTTGCATTAGGGAAGGACGGTCCAGTTTGCCACCGTTGCTGCTGAGTTTGAGGAACTCGTGGGAGCTTAGGAAGGCGGAGGGGCTACTCTGGAAAATAGGGGGGGTTCTGGAAGGTTGGTTTCCTCGGTGACCTCCAAGTGGTCGCTCTGAGCTCCCTGAACCTTCGAGCTCTTCACCCTGTGAGCGGCGGGGTCGCTTGGTGAAGTAGCCGAGGTTGGCGGCCCCTCCCCCCCGACGCAATAAGAGTTCGTGCTGAAAGCTTTGTCTTATTTATTAATTGTTTTTAGAAAAACAAGGTAGGTGGCTCATGCACTCAGGAATTATTCCTGACGGTGCTCATATGGGATGCTGGGAATCGAACCCCGGTTGACCGCGTGCAAGGCAAAACGCCCTACCCGCTGTGCTATCATTCTAGCCCCAACATGGTAGTTTTTACTGCAGAGAACTTACTTAGAAAAATGCAAAAGCGGGGGACGCTAGTCCTGCGTGGAGAGTGGCGGCCTTGCACCCCCAAGAAGTGCCCCTTGAGCACAGAGCCAGGAGTAACTCCTGAGAATCACCCCAAAATTTAAAAAAAGATGGGATGTGTTGAGTAATACTTGGGACCTGGCCCTTTAAGGCTCTGACTGAAAATGCCCGTGTACGGGATCAAGGCGAAAAAAGAGTTTGAAGAGCAAAGAATGGAAAGTTTCAGAAACAACGAAAATGACTGAACAGGTAGCAGAGAAAGTTATTTTTTAAAAAAGTTTATTTTTACATGTGTTTTAGACCTGTACCCGGCAGTGCTCAGGGTGACTCCTGGCTCTGCAGTTAGGGAGCCCTCTGGTGGGCTCCTGGGACCCTCTTGTGTTCTGGAGCCAGGCCAGCAGTCTCCCCACTGAGTTATCCCTTGGCCTACTACCCAAAGAGAAAGCTTTAGTTTCCCTGAAGATTTGTTGGGGCATGCTTTGGCCCCTGCATCATTAGTGCTCCCTTTCAAGGACTCTCGCAGTCCTGGGGTAGTCATAAGGGTTGTGAGGGGTGGATCTTTCTGGGACTGTCTCCAGGCTAACCCTTTGCTGGCCACCTTTCATTCCGTTTTTTAGGCTGATTACAGAGGAGTCAAAGTCAAAGGGACTGGGGGCACGTTCTTTTTTCTTTTACGGGGGAGAGTTTGAACCTCACCACTGTGATCAGGGGTCACTCCTGATTCTGCACTCCTGACGGGTGTTCAGGGTCCCCCATACCCTGGTCAGCAGCATGCAAAGCACCCACCCACCCAGCTCTACTACCATTCCCTCCTGGTGAGGGTGGAGGTGCTTTCCTCTACTTGGTACGCAGAAGATTTTGGCAGAGTGTTTTAATTTTCACATGTTCCCCACTTATCCGGTAGTTTCCAGAGTCCAGGGAGATGGGAAACTTTCTTTTCTTTTCAGCTTTTAGAGTCACACCCAGATGTCTGGTGATGTCCAGGGGGTACTCCTGGTTTTGCACTCAGGAGTCACTCCTGGTGGTTCTTCAGAAACCATATGGGATGCTTCGGATTAAACCCAACAGATACCCACCTGGCCACAGGGGTCTTGCAACCAGGTATGTGAACTTAGTGGGAAGTAGCTTGGACACTACCAGGGTGTGCCCCAAGCCCTCTCACAACACAATCTAAGAGCACCATTGTCTACCACACCTTTATTTAATCATTTAAGTGAATTAGTTTGGGATGGCATACATGGCAATACTCAGTGTTATTCCTCTTGCCTCTGCACTCAGGGTTCCTGGCAGTGCTCAGTGAACCATATAGGATGCTGGCAATCAAACATGGGTTGGCTGTGTACAAAACAAGCAGCTCACCCCCTGTAGTATCTCTCCAGTTCCTTTACACAGAAATTTATTTATTTATCTTAGTTTTGGGGCCCCAGCACCAAGTACTCAGGACTTATTGACTCGATCTGTAAGGCATCAATCCTGGCAGTGCTGAAGTGGGGACCCTATGTGCTGTTGTGTGTTGAACCTAGCTTAAGCTGCTTGAAATAAAAGCACCCTATCAACTACTATTTCTGCTAATTTTATATGATTTTATTTTTCCCCAGGAAAAAAAATTCTGCTTTACCTATCAAGATTCTGACTGTCCATTTCTCCTAGGCCAGGGGCGGTCCCTAATGTTGGGGTGAGTACTTTCAGAAGGGACCATCTGTAACAGGTATTAAATGTCTCACGCTAGGACCTGGTGCAGGACAGCCAGGAGGACCTGTCTTACTCATGGATGATCCAGGTTTGATCCTGGGCACACCATAGGGCCCCCTCAGCATCACCAGGTGTGGCCCCAAAACCAAAAAGAAAAAAAAAGTCTCCTTCCAGAATTTGTCTTGACACATAAGCATTCTTTGAGCTTCTTTTGTTTTTTTTTTTTTTTTTTTTTTTTTTTTTTTGCTTTTTGGGTCACACCCTGCGATGCTCAGGGGTTACTCCTGGCTCATGCACTCAGGAATTGCTCCTGGCAGTGCTCGGGGGACCATATGGGATGCTGGGAATCGAACCTGTGTCGGCCATGTTGGCTGCGTGCAAGGCAAACGCCCTACCCGCTGTGCTATCACTCCAGGCCTTTGAGCTTCTTTTGGGGTTGTCTCTCCTGCCTTTTCTTTCCCCCTTTTTGCTACAAACTTGGAGAGGTCAGAGATCCTCCCGCTCTGTCCACCTGTCTCTGGATGCAGGGGAGCCATGCCGAGTCCCCCACTGGTAAAGCAGGTGCTCAACCCTCTGAGTTCCTCTCCCTTGGTCTATGTCACTACTCGGGGAGTAGATGGGTAAGATTTGGGGCCACACCTGGTGGTGCTTGAGGGCTGCATCTTGTGCTGTGCTCAGGGGACCAGTGGACAGTCGTACCAGAGAAGAGCCCTGGCTTCCAGCTGACTGGCATCCACTTCAACCTGGACCTCTCTCCTGAACCTCTGCTCAGCCTTCATTGGAAATTCTTAGATATGAACATTCTGGAATACTTTTAACAAGAGGCTTTTAGGAGGAAAAGATGAAATTGAAGTCTCTGAGCAAAATTATGGACTTTCACCAATAAGATTTCTTTTGGACGAAATGTAATTCTTTTTTTTTTCTTTGCTTTTTTGGGTCACACTCAGCAATGCACAAGGGTTACTCCTGGCTCGTGCACTCTGGAATTACTCCTAACAGTGCTCAGGGGACCATATGGGATGCTGGGAATTGAACCTGGGTCGGCCACGTGTAAGGTAAGTGCTCTACCCGCTGTGATATTGCTCCAGCCCCCTCAAATGTGATTCTTTCTCTTCTCTTTCTTATATAAAATCACATATCCAGAGGAATAAAATCATACGGGCTGAAAATCTGGTCTATAAATTCTGAGCTTTCTCGGATGTGGCTTCAAAACAAAAACAAACCAATGAATTGACCCTTAAGAATACAATTCTGGATTTTGCACCTCTGCCCTTGTAGATAACTTACTCTTTGGCTGTGTTTGAAGGGGAAGGGATGGAGATGAGGGGCTACTCTAACTCGGCAATGCTCAGAGATTGCTCCTTGGGGATTCAGGGTATGAGGTTGACTCTGCCCCATGCATGGCAAGGGCCCTCCCCACTGGCCTCTATTTTCAGCCCCTGCAAACCTTTGAAAACTGCAGCCATGTGCCAGCAGCCCTGCCATGGCCTCTACTATCTGGGCCTCATCCCTGCTCCTTGTCATGCCAGTCTGTGTCATAATGAGGTTCACAGGATTTATATAGAATTTGAATTCCTGGGGTCAGAGAGAGACCAGGAGTGCAGGCCCTGGCTTGCCATGGTACAATCTCTGGCACAGTGAAGGGTCCCCCAAGTATTCCAGGAATAAGCCAAAATTCCTCCATTTGTGGCTCAAAGATCCAAATCTGTGTCCTACGAAACTTGCTGGTCGTGGTTGACTCAAAAACTAATTTTTTTTTCTTTTGTGTTTTGGTTTATACCCTGTGGTTGCTACTCATGGTGCCAAAGGGTGTGTGGATTGAATCCAGATTAGCCTTGTGCAAAGCCAATACTCTACAAAACTATAAATCTGGCCCCTAAATTTATTAATTTATTTTTGGTTGGATTTGCTCCAGCGGGCCCAGTAACGTCTCCATTGGAGACTTTGTTGTTACTGTGTCTGGCATATCGAATACTCTCGGTAGCTTGCCGGGCTGGCCACACTTGCCAGTGTTCAGGGATTACTCCAGCTTTGTGTTCATTGATCACTCCATGCTCATCTTGGGGACATTATTGGGTGATGGAGAGTGAACCTGAGTTGACTGCATGCCAGACTAGCATCCCATGCTCTGTGCTATCTCTTTGGCTATCATAAAAATGGTTTTCCACTGGGTGAAGTCCAGAAAATTGTGAAATTAAACCTTCATTTTTTTTTGACTTTTTGGTTCACACCTGGCGATGCACAGGGGTTACTCCTAGCTCTGCACTCAGGAATTACCCCTTGCAGTGCTCAGGGGACCATATGGGATGCTGAATCAAACCCGGGTCAGCTGTGTGCAAGGCAAATGCCCTACCCACTGTGCTATTGCTCCAGACCTCATTTTTCTATTAAGCACACAAGTCACTTTTTTGTGTGCTTTTGTTTTGGGGGCACAGCCAGCAATGCTCTGGCCTTACTTCTAACTCTGAGCTCAGGAATCACTCCTGGTAAGCTTAGGGTACCCTGTGCGATTCAGGAATCAAACCAGAGTCAGCGTTGTGCAAGCCAAGTGCCCTTCCCGATGTGCTGTTGCTTTGGCTCTTGGAACTAATTTTCACCTCTAATACTCGATTTCTGTTGAGATATTATAACATTTTCAGTTAGACAGAAACCAAGGGGCCTGAGAGATAGGACAGAAGGTCATCTGCTTGCGTTGCCTTCTCTGAAAGCAACGGGCAGCCCGGATTCCAACTCACTTCTGCATCCACTGAAGAGGAAGGAGCGTCTGGCGGTCGTTCCTGGTGGGTCTGTGAACTGGTGCCCAAGAGTGCGGTCGGTCAGCGCATTCAGCTCCAATGAAGGGACTTTTGGCCAGGGCCATATGGATTGTGCTCCTCTCTGGTGCTCATGGCTCTGACTTTTCCTCCCGGCCTTTACACGGAGCCACCTGTAAATACTCAGTAATTATAGAGGTGGGGGAAGATGGTGACATATTATGTGATCCACTTACCCAAGTAGGAGGAGAGTTACAAGATGAGAGGTTGCAGTGACAGGAATGCACAGACTCCCAGGGACATCTGTCTCCCGAGTTGTTTCAGAAAGGAGATCTTGGATGTGGCTCCTGATTGGAGTGCCTGACTCTTGCTTGGGGCCACATCCAGCAGTACTTGAGGAGTACTCCCAGCTCAGTGTTCAAGGATCACTCCTGCCAAGTCTTGGGAACCCTATGAGATGCCATGGACCCAAGGCTAACTTCTTTTTTTTTTTTTTTTTGCTTTTTGGGTCACACCCAGCGTTGCACAGGGGTTACTCCTGGCTCTGCACTCAGGAATTACCCCTGGCGGTGCTCGGGGGACCATATGGGATACTGGGAATCGAACCCGGGTTGGCCACATGCAAGGCAAATGCCCTACCTGCTGTGCTATAGCTCCAGCCCCTCTGTCTGTCATTCTTTTATCTGTCCTCGGATCATTAACATGGCATTTCACTATATTAACAAATTTATTTATTTATTTATTTAATTTTTGCTGGGTCCAAGGGATACTCTTTCCTGGCCATTCTCAGAGCTTAATTTTGACAGAGTTCAGGGATCAAGCCCTGTTAGCTTCATGTGAAGCGAATAACCTATCTGCTGTTCCTTCCCAACCACTAAGAAATATTTTTTGTCTTTATGTTTAAAGATTGAAGGAGATGGGGCTGGAGCAATAGCACAGCGGGTAGGGCGTTTGCCTTGCACGCGGCCGACCCGGGTTCGATTCCCAGCATCCCATATGGTCGCCTGAGCACCACCAGGAGTAATTCTTGAGTGCAGAGCCAGGAGTAACCCCTGTGCATCGCCGGGTGTGACCCAAAGAGCAATAAATAAATACATAAATAAATAAAATGTCATCAGGAACCTTTTAAAAAAAATAAAGTTTGAAGGAGTGAGCCTATAGCAAAGCTAATTTGTGCTTGAGAGATAGTACAGCAGGGACGGTGCTTGCCCTACACATGGCCGACCCAGATGGAATCCCTGGCATCCCATATAGCTCCTCAATCATCACTGGGTTTGGTGAGAAATCAAAACCCAAAAGCTGGTTAGGGGATTGCCAAACTCCTCACAGCGATCCTCCCAAGGAACCTTCCCTTTGCTTTTGGTTTGTTTGAAATATGAGAACTGTAAAGATGATTCCTTCACCTGCTCAGCCTCATTCAACTAACATTCCATTCAACACTGGATTGATTCTTCCATTGCATATTGTGTTTGATTTTAGAACTCAAACCTCAGCTTCAGGATATACATTGCTGTGGTTTGGTTTGGGAATGGAATCACCGAATCCATATGAACTGGTAAGATTCGCGTATTTGAAATAAATGTTATGCTGAGGGATACTCAGACTACAATGCATTGTTTCTTGAAAGGTAGCGTTCCGGGCTCCAGACCCGTCATGACAATCCAGAGCCTAATGCTGAGTGTTGGGCTGGAGCAATAGCACAACAGTAGGGTGTTTGCCTTGCATGCAGTCAGCCCGCCCAAGCTGGGTTCGATTCCTCCACCCCTCTAGGAGAGTCTGGCAAGCTACTGAGAGTATCTTGCCCGCACGGCAAAGCCTGGCAAGCTACCTGTAACTATGCCAAACACAGTAACAACAAGTCTCAAAATGGAGACATTACTGGGCCCGCTCGAGCAAATCGATGAACAACGGGAGGACAGTGACAGTGAATGCTGAGTGTGGAGGGCCTTGATCTCACTTGGCACTGAAATCAGTAAGTTCTAAACCTAAAGAAATTTTATTATTTTTCATACCAATGGAAGACTGTGAGTTTGCCTTCTACAGAAAATAAGCACAAGTGTTCATTGTTTCAAAGAACTTGTTTGTGGGCACTAGTGATAGTGTAGTGGGAAGGATATTTGCTTTGTATGAGATGGAAATCTGTGCTCCATCCGTAGCACCCCGTATGGTCTCCAGCACCCCGGTAGAACTCATCCCTGAGCACTGCTTGGTGTGCCCTCTCCCCAAATAAAGACAAACAAGAAAATTAAAAGAACAAAAAACTCACTGATCCTAAGAGTAATGTGCTTGCACGGGTTTTAAATGGCACAATTGTCCATGGTGATGTCTCACCTCCAGGCCTGATGGGGCAGTAGCTTGCGTTCAGCCTTCCACACAGTCTCAGATAGTGACTTTACACGCCCAGAGAGAAGATCAGCAGTGACTCCCTGGTGAGGAACAGAGGGGTCCTGATAGCCACATCTAAGAGATTTGGGGACATTAGTTCAGCTGAGACCCTGGGCAACTGGGCAAAGGTTTGAAAAAAGCAAAGGCAAAGTGATTCTTTGAAGAATCTCTATGGCCATCCCCAGAAAATGGGGTACTGGGGTCCACCATCAAATCCTGAATCAGCCACAAATGTTGTGCGGTTATGATTAAAAGACCACCAGAGATATCAAGAGAATAAAATTTGGAGAAGACTGTTCATACCAGTTGGCGAACTGTCCTACTAGGCAAGAGCAGCCACCTCCCAGCAGAAGCACAGGCTTTTGGTTAGGAAAAACCATATCCTGGTGCATCTGTCATTTCCATAAACACCCACAAAATTAACTCTTTGGGCTTGTATCCTAGCACTCAGTAAATTTATTTAAATTTATTTAAGCAGAGCGAAGCAAGCTTTGTTATAGAAGCAAGTAAAAGCGATTACACAGAACCATCAACTATTAATCATTAACCACCCCCACTTTTGGGAACCCTAACCCATTGTTCCTATTTTACTCCATAACTGGCAGGTGCCCTTGTGGAGCAGTTAAAAGAAATTCAGTATACTAATATACTTTTTGAATAACTCCACTAATTAAAAAGTAAACTTCTAAACTAAACTTCCTATTTTACTATAACAAATATCAATCATCAAAGCTGAATAGGTCAACATGTCTAAAAAAGAGACCTTCCCCTGAACAACTGCTGTTCTTGTCTACTGAATCAAATTTAGAAGAATTTAATTTTTGCTGGATAATTCATCTACTACTAAACTACTAAAACACTACTCAGCTGCATAGTGGTGAAAGGACTTTTTGTTTATGCGGCTGATCTATTTTAGATACTGGTTGAATTCACTGTTTGAAGAATTGCTGAGCACAGAGATAGGAGTAGCTTGAGAGCACCAATAGCTATGAACACATACAAACACATACAAAGGAATATTGATTACACATGTAATACTTTTCTATTTATCACCAATTCCTGAGCCCCCTTCTGGGCCAGCCCTGAACCCCACATTTGGGCCAATGGTTCGCTTAGTTTGTATCTCACTCCTGTCACTGTGAGAGCATGAACAGTTGAAGCTACTCTAATAACTGGAAGTTCAGTGCAATGAAAACAAAAATCAGGGCTCAGAGAGACAGTCCAACTGGAAAGTAGCTGACCGAGGTTCCATCCTTAGCACCCCTCAGCACCACTGAGCAAGTGATCCCTGAGCAGTCAGGAATGAGTCCTCACCACTGCTGAACGTGGCCCCCCCAAACACAAAGTATCATGATATCTGACTATTGATGCCCAGTAATTTCTGAGCAATATTTTTAGGGTGGTGGTGGTTGCTAGGTCAGGACTGGGGTGTGGTCCTTGTGAGTTCACAGGGAAGGAATTTGTGAATTTTTGTTCCCTTAGTGGACACATGGGCTGGAGCGATAGCACAGCAGGTAGGGCGTTTGCCTTGCACGCGGCTGACCCAGGTTCGATTCCTTCCCCACTCTCGGAGAGCCTGGTAAGCTATTGAGAATATTTCACCCCCATGGCAAAGCCTGGCAAGCTACCCGTGAGGTATTCCATATGCCAAAAACAGTAACAAGTCTCACAATTTGTTGTGAGATGTTACTGTTGCCTGATGCAGCAAATTGATGAACAGCGGGGAGGACAGTGCTACAATGTAACAGTGGAAACATAAAAGACTTTCTGCTTCATATGCCATCTGTTCAGACTCTCACTCTCCATCCATCCCAGACCTGGCCACCCGACAGATGTTAGGGCCACCTGATCCAAACAGAAACAGGGGGTGGAGGGGGTGGGAGGTGAAATAACTTTGCTGAGGACAAAGTACCTGGTCAGGAATCCTTGGAACCTAGCCCTTTAAGGATCCGACAGGAAATGCAGATGACGTCACGGAATTTCGGGTCTTTTTCCCTAGAGGGGGGGGTCTTCGCTTTCGTGGCAGAAATTCCACCTTCGCTGCTTGGGGTGAGGAGTCGGGGAGAGCGGGGAAGGGGGTACCCAGGGGCAACAGGGGGCTTCGGGAAGGCCGGTTTCCTCGCAGGCAGCCGAGTGGTCACTCTGATCGCCTTGAACCTCCGCGGAGGGGCTGCGGGGTCGCTCCGGGAAGGGCCGGGGCGCTGGCGGCCCCTCACCCGGGACGCACCGAGCGTTCCTGCCCAAAGGTTTATCTCATTTCTTAATTGTTTTTAGAGAAACAAGGGAAAGGTGCATAAGGGTTTTGTCTGCGGGGCGGGCCCTGGCGGCGCCCAGCGGTGCTCAGGACTGATAGATGAGCGAAAAAACGAGCTTAAAGAGCAAAAGTCGTTCGGAAAGTTTCACAAACAACAAAAGGAAGAACAAACAGAAGGGAAAATATTTTCTTTTAAAATGTGTTTTTAATTGTGTTTTAGGGTGCTCAGGGCTGACTCCTGGCTCTGCGGTCAGGAATCCCTCCTGGAGGCCTGGGGGACCCCATGGGGTGTCAGGATTAGTGGCCAGCGCACCCCCGCTGACCTGTCCTCTGGCCCCCATCAAGGAAAGTGTCAGAGTCAGAGGGAGCTTCGGTTTATCCTGTCAGAGCCAGAGGGAGCTTCGGTTTACCCGCAAACCGTTGCAGGGGCCCCGGGGGCGGGAGAGGGACTGAGAGGTGTTCTAACTTTCACGTTTTTTATTTTTTATTTTATTTATTTATTTTTTTAAGTTTTGTTTATTTTTTGAAAGACATCGGTAGTGTTCAGGGATCACTGCTAGTGATGCTCCTGTCCTATGGGTTGCCCAGACTCAATCTGAGTCGGTTGCATGCAAGGAGAATGCACCCCTCTCCCCTTCAGTGTACCACCCTCCTGCAATGTGGGGCTCAAAAGTATTTGGTGGAACCTTTTGATCTTCACGTTTCATGCTACTTCAGCAGGTTTTGGGGGTCCGGGAGGATCGGAGCTTTAAGAGAATACAGTACTTTGGCTAGGGCGGAGGAATTACCTGTGTTGGGTTCCTGCAACCCAGTGTGCAAACCTAGCAGGAAGTAGCCCGGACACTTCCAGGATGTGCTCCAAGCCCTTTCATAATACAATCTAGGATCACCATTGGCCACCACAACTTTATTAATTTTATTTATTTATTTATTTATTTTGCTTTTTGGGTCACACCCGGCAATGCACAGGGGTTATTCCTGGCTCTGCACTCAGGAATTACTCCTGGTGGTGCTCGGGGGACCATATGGGATGCTGGATGCTGGGAATCTAACCCGGGTCGGCTGTGTGCAAGGCAAATGCCCTACCCATGTGCTATTGCTCCAGCCTCTATTAATTTATTTTATTTATTTATTGCTTTTTGGGTCACACCTGGCGATGTTCAGGGGTTACTGCTGGTTCATGCACTCAGGAACTACTCCTGGCCGTGCTCAGGAGACCATATGGGATGCTGGGAATCAAACCCGGGTCGGGCCACGTGCAAGGCAAACGCCCTACCTGCTGTGCTATCACTCCAGCCTCCCTTATTTGTTATTTTTAATCGTAATTTTTGGGCCACAGCTGGCAGGTGTTCAGGGCTTACCCTTGGATCTTAGCTCGCGCATAATTCCTGGCAGTGCTGGGGCTCTTACGTATTTACCCTAGCTTAGCTGATTGAATGAAAAGCACCCTATCAACTGTACTGTCTCTATATGATTTTATTTCTTTCCAGAAAAAGAATTTCTGCTTCACCTGTCAAGTTTGTGCGCATCCCCCATTGTCCATCTCTCCCAGACCGGAAGCTCCCCCTTCTGTTCAGGTGAGTACTTGCAGAAACGGGGTTTGCAGGGACCAACTGCACTAGGTTTTATATGTCTCACTGGAGGGGTGTGAGCCTTAGTACAACCAGGAGGGCATTGGTCTTGCTCAGGGCCAACTTGGATTCGATCCCCTGGGGCACCCCATGGGATTGTCTGAGCATCGAGAGGAGTGGCCCAAATACCACAAAAGATAGTAAAGAAAGAAAGGACTGGAGCAGTAGAAGAGTAAACAGGTAACTTTCCTTGCATGTGGCCTAGTGGTTCGATCCCCAGCACCCCATAGGGTTCCCTGAGCATTTCTGGGTGTCTCCCACAAACCTCCCCCCCCAAAAAAAATTTCGCTCCAGGATTTGTCTTGACACTTGAGCATTCTTAAAGTACTTTTTGGCAGTGTAGATCTCTGTTCTGCTTTTTTTTTTTTTTTCCCCAGTTTTACTGAAAACATGGAGGTGGTCAGGGAGCTCTCCCTGTCTGTTCATGTGTTTCTGAGATAAGGCATCCCCACTGGTAAAGCAGGTTCTCACCCATCTGAACTCCTCTCCTTGGGTCGATCTCAATACTCAGGTAGCAGATCGGGTGGGATTTGGACCATACCTGCCAGTGTTTGAGGATTGCGCCTTGCTCTGTGCTCAAACAGCAAGTGGACAGTGGATACCAGGGAAGGCCCTCCTGCCAGGCTTCCTGATAGCCTTGTGTGATCCAGCCTGGTCTGCCTTCCTGCCCATCTGTTCATACCTCCATTGGAAGTTCTATGTTGTGAACATTCTGTGATACACTCAACAACAGACTGTCGGGAGGAAAAGGAGTTGGAGTCTCTGAGCAAAATTATGGACTTGCACCATTAAGTTTCTTTTGGACCAGGTTTACTTTCCTCCCTATTTTTCTTATACAAAATCACAAACCCAAATAAGTAAAATTGTGTAATCTGTGAAAAACATGGCCTGTAAGTTCTGAGCCCTGCCTGGGTGACTCCCAAACAAGAACAAACCAAAGAACTAAACTTTGAAAATATATTGCTGGATTTCACACCTCTGCTGTCAGCAGATAACTTCCTCTTTGCCTTTATTTGTGGGGGGGGGGGGAGTGGAGATGGGGGCTTCTTTTTTTAATTTTTTTTTTTATTAGTGAAACACCATGAGGTACAGTTGTAGATTTACAATTTTTTGTGCTTGGGTTTCAATTATACAATGATCAAGTACCCATCCCTCCACCAGTGCCCATTTTCCACCACCATGGATCCCAGTATCCCTCCCACCCCCCATCCCCCCCATCCCACCCTGCCTCTGTGGGAGGGCATTTCCTTTTGTTCTCTCTCTCCTTTTGGGTGTTGTGGTCTGCAAAAGAGGCATTGAGTGGCAATCATGTTCAGTCCATAGTCTACTTTCAACATGCATCTCCCCTCCTGGGAGGATCCTCCAAACACCCTTTATTTGATGCTCCTTTCTCTATCTGAGCTAGAATGCCCCTAGAATGCCCGGCTGGCCTCTAAGCTATGGAGTAATCCTCCTGGTACTGATCTCAGCTATTCTTGGGTATTAATCTCCTATTTTGTTACTTTATATCCCCCAGATGAATGCAATCTTCCTATGTCTGTCCCTCTCTTTCTGACTCATTTCGCTTAGCATGATACTTTCCATGTAGTACCACTTGTATGCAAATTTCATGACTTCGAGATGGGGGCTTCTGCCAAACCCAGTGGTGCTCAGGGATCACTCCTTAGGGATTCAGGGTGTGAAGTTGAGTCTGCCGCATGCACGGCAAGTGCCTAGCCACTGACCTCTCTTTCTAGCCCTTGCACACCTGTGAAATTGCAGCCTGTGTTCAGCATGACACTGGAGGCTGCCAAGTGCCAGCAGCCCTGCCATGGCCTCTACCAGGTGGGCCTTATCCCTGCACCACAATCATGCCAGTCGTGTCCTTAGCAAAGATTCATTAAATTGATATATAATTTGACTTTGGCGTCTGGCCTTGCTAGTAGCCTGCCATGGTACAGTTCTGATACAACCCAGGGTGCCCCAAGCACCTCTAGGAACAAACCTGAATTCTTTCACTTGTGACCTCAAAACCCAAACCTGTGTCTTACATAGCTGACTGGCAGGGGTTGAATAATAAACAAATACCACTTTTTTTTTGTTTTCTGGGTCACACCTGGCAATGCACAGGGGTTCCTCATGGCTCTGCGCTCAGGAATAACCCTTGGCGGTACTCAGGGGACCATATGGGATGCTGGGAATCGAACCCAGGTTGGCAAATGCCCTACCCGCTGTGCTATTGCTCCAGCCCCACAAATACTACTTTTTTTGGGATTTTTTTGGGTTCTACCCCGTGGTTGCTGTCTATGGTACCTGGTGGGGTCCTGTGGACCATGTGCAAGGTCAATACCCTACTGGGCTATAGCTCCGGCCCCTGAGTTTATTGATTTTTTTTTTCTTTTTGGGTCACACCCGGCGATGCACAGGTTACTCCTGGCTCTGCACTCAGGAGTTACTCCTGGCGTTGCTCAGGGGACCATATGGGCTGCTGGGAATCGAACCCGGGTTGGCCGCGTGCAAGACAAACGCCCTACTCGTTGTGCTATCTCTCCAGCCCCTGATTTTTTTTTCTTCTGGTTAGAGGCCAGGCCTGGAGATACTCAAAAGTTGCTCCTTGAGGTCTGCTCTGGAATAGAGGGCTCTGCTCATTGATCACCCCATGCACCGCATGCAATGCATGGGGACCCTTTGGGCTGATGGGAATTGAAACATAGTTGAAGTGCCTGCCTTGTGCTCTGTGCTATCCCTGTGACAATCATTAAAAATATTTTACACTGGGTAAAATCCAGAAAGTTATGAAATTAGATGTTCTTTTTTCTACTAAGTACACAACTCACATTTTTTTTTGGTGTTGTCTGTTTTTGGTTTGGGGCCACACCCAGCAGTAGTCTGGAGTTACACCTGACTCTGCACTCAGGAATCACTCTCGGTGCAGTTTGGTGGCCTTGTCGATGCAGGGGAGCAAAGCAGGGTAGCTGCGTGCAAGGCAACTGCCCTCCCCTATCTGCTATTGCTCTGGCTCTGGGATATAATTGTCATCTATTTTTCTAGATTTCTGTTTAGCTGCTATAATATTTTTAGTTAAAGTGAACCCAAAGGCCCTGAGAGATGGGGTAGCAGGTCAGCTGCTTGCTTTGCCTTCCTGAGAGCAATGAATGGGCAGCCTGGACCCCAGCCCGCTTCTGCGTCCTCAGGAGAGGAAGGAACATCTGGCAGTATCTCTCTGGGTGGGTCTGTGACCGGTGCCTAAGGGTGAGGCAGCCAGGTCCTTTTTGGGCGCAAATGCTGGGACTTCTGGTCAGGGCTCAGGGTTGTTCTCTCTGGTGCTCACATTTCTGACTTCTCCTCCAGATATTTCCACGGAGCCTCCTCCTGCTGACCCTTGGGAATTCAGAGGCTGGAGACAATGGTGACATGCCATCTGACACATTGTCCCCAGGTGGGAGGAGAGTGATGTGGTGACATGATGCGGTGACAGTAGCTCGCAGGCTTGCGAGTTTCCAGGGTCGTGTGTCTCTGAATTTCAGAAATGAGCCTTGGGATGTGGTTCCTGGCGTGAGTGCTGTGTGAAAGACACTTTGTTCTTGCTTGTTTTATTGTATTTGGGTTGGAGGTGACACCTAGTGGTGCTCAATGAGTTCTCAAAAGTCAATGCTCAAGGAGCACTCCTGCCAGGTCTCAGGAACCTTATGAGCTGTGGTGGGTACAAGGTTGACTTCTTCAGTTTCTTTTGTTTTGTAAGGTGATGGGAGGTTCATATTGGTGATTCTCAGGATATATTTCTGGTTCTGCATTAGACATTGCACCTGGCATTGCCTGGGGGACCATACGGGAGAGTGGGGATGGACAGTCATACCTGGTGACCACTACCTGCTGTACTATTAGTGCATCCTGCTTCTTTGTTTCTGTTGTATTTGTTCTTATAACATAGAGGAGGTGCTTTGGGCTTTCTCTTGACTCTGTCCTCTGGATTCACCCTGATAGCATTGGGGTTCCAGGGGCCATTAGCTTCTATATGTATATGTACTCTGGCAGTTACAGTGACTCTGGGCACCAGGACATGCATTTCCCCTGTTTTGTCTTTCTACTCTGGACAGCCTTGCCTGCTCAGTCACACAGTTTCATTCTGCTGTGTGTGCAGTTTTGGGCAAGCATCAGTCTGAGGGAGACAGAGCGAAGGATCTCCAGGACCATCAGAGATGTTGGAGGTCAGAACACTGTTACCTGGGGCCAGAGAGCTAGTATAGCAATAGGGCACTTGCCTTGCCCCCAGCCAGTCCAGGGTAAATCATCTTTATCCCATATGGTCCCTCAAGCACTACTAGTCGAAATTCTGGAGTACAAAGCTGGAGGAACACCTATCATGACCGAGTGTTAATGAAAAAAAAGCAAACAACAACAACAAAAAGACACTTTTACCTGTTACTACAGGGATTTGGGGCAGCGCTGAACTGTGAGTACTGGGTCCTACGTGCACAAATGTCCTCGCACAGCTTTGAGTCACTCTCTGGACATCAAGTATCCCCTTCTCATCCCTAGGACAGGGGGTGTGGGGGTACTGTGTGTGTGTGTGTGTGTGTGTGTGTGTGTTTCATGTTTTGGGCCAAACTCAGATTTGCCTTTTGGGTCCCGTTGGTTCAGTGCTCAGTTGTTACCCTCTGCACTGCTCACTGCACCAGTGGTTTGGGATTGGCCTTAGGGTGACTGTGTGCAAGACTGATGCCTTCAGAAAACATCTAGTATAGTGTCCTCACATTCTACCAGATCCGACTGCCTTACAGTGATGTCTGGAGTGATTTCTCCACATCAGCCAGTAGGGCACATGGAGAGAAAGCAATCGAGGCTGGTTCATCCCGAGGGAGAGTCCCTGAGCCCTTTTAGGGCCCTGAGGGGTCCTATACTCATAGCCTGGGAATGGGGTGGAGATGGGCCCTGACTCCTGTCCCGCTGTGTGTTGACTCAGGACATAATTACCTTCCCTGATGTGGCTGTGAGATTCTCCCAGGAGGAGTGGACATGCCTGGATGCCAGACAGAGAAAGCTCTACAGGGACGTGATGCTGGAAACCTACCAGCACCTGCGGGCCGTCGGTGAGAGTAGCATGGGGCTGACTGTACCTTGCTTGACCTGCATGGACATCTGGGGCTATACTAGGCTGTGTGTTCCCCAGGGGCTGTGATTCTCATGGGCCAGGATTTTTGACAGCAATGTGGATCACTGTTTCTCAAGTTCATTTCTTTATTTCTGTTTTTATTATTTGGCCACGCTTAGCAATTGTTAGGCCTTCCTCCTGAGATGCAGGGGATCTGCCTGGGTCAGCCATGTGCATGGCAAAGCGCCCCACATGCTGTACTGTCACGCAGGTTCCTCAAAATAGTTCCTTCCATCACTAAATTAATTTACTTCTTGTACTACCCTTTACTTCAGTATATTTGTTGTTTTGGTTTTACTTTGGGTTTTGATTCGGAGCCACAGTTCACATTCTTCCTGGCTCTGTGCTGAAGGATCACTCCTGGCAGTGCTCAGGGGCCCATGGGGGTGCGGTGGACTAAATAGGGTCAGCAGTTTACAAGGCTGGTGTCTTACTCGCTGTACTACTGCACCATGCCTACAATTTCATTTTTCTTTTTTTTTTCTTCAGTTTTGATTTAGTTAGGTGGCTACACTCAGCAATGCTCAGGGATTACTCTTGGCAATATATTCAGGAATTTCTTGTAGCAGTGCTGAATATATGGATGCCAGGGAACAGACCCATATGTGTGTGCCAGACACGTGCTTGCCAAACTGGACTATCACACTCGCCACAAGTTCATTTCTTTCTTTCTTTTTTTTTTTTTTTTTTTGCTTTTTGGGTCACAGCTGGCAATACACAGGGGTTATTCCTGGCTCTGCACTCAGGAATTACTCCTGGCGGCGCTCAGGGGACCATATGGGATGCTGGGAATCGAACTCAGGTTGGCCGCGTGCAAGGCAAATGCCCTACCCGCTGTGCTATTGCTCCAGCCCCTCATTTCTTTCTTAGGGCCTCGCCTCATCAGATTTTTTTTTTTCAGTGCTTGGGTTCACATCCAGTGTTTCTTGGAGACTTTGGCATGACTCAATTTCATTCTGAAACTAAAACCTGGTGCTTATGCCTCTGATAATCACCAATCTGGCAAATCAAAAGTGGAGATTCTGTTAATACCTTTTCAGGAATTTACCTGATTTTATTAGGGACACATGGGGTTGACCTGTCACTTTTCCTTGTCATTAATCCAGGCCTCTCTTTGTGGGTTTCAGGGAGTTCCAGCGTGAAGCCTGCGATGATTTCCTGGCTGGAAGGAGGAACCCTGAGGCCGGAGAGGAGAGGCATGTCTGCTGGTGAGTGTCTGAGGACCCTCTCTGGGTGGGGTCCTGGGCAATGTGTGGGTGTCCTGATCGAGTGTGAAATGCGCTACTGACCCCGGGCTCTTGGGCTCCTGGATCCAGGTATCTGTGCTGCGCTAACGCTGCCTTCATCCCCTGCACTATGGAATTATTCAATGCTTTGCTTTATTGTCTTTGTTGTTATCCTTCCCTGTCTTTCAAGCCTGTAGAACAGTCCTTGGGATTCATGGCCCTTGTCCCCCTTTCTGTGCCTCAATGGCCTGGTTGTACAGCATCCTGTGTCATTGTGACCTGTTCATGAGAAGCTGTACTCTTTTCTTCCCTCTCTCTGTCATGCTTATCTTATTTATTTATTTGGTTTGCTTTTTGGGTCACAGCCAGCGATGCACAGGGGTTACTCCTGGCTCATGCACTCAGGAATTACTTCTGGTGGTGCTCGGGGGACCATATGGGATGCTGGGAATCAAACCGTGTCATGCTTATCTTTGCCCTCAGATCAGTAGCACATTTTGTCAGTATATTAACAGATTTTTTTTTCCTGTAGTGGACTGGGGAATTTTTTTTTTTTATTTTTTTATTTATTGAATCACTGTGGGAAAGGTTACAAAGCTTTCAGGTTTATGTCTCAGTCATGCAAATATCAAACACATTTCCCTTTACCAATACTTATTTTTTACCGTGAAGAACCCCAATAAAACCCCACCCCCCACCCCTCCCCGTCCCTGTGAGGCAGATGAATTCTAGTTAACACTCTATCTGCTTTGATTAGATTCATTGTTTCAATAAAAGATTCACCACTATTATTTAGAGTTTACCCCACCCCCCCAACTCAGACATGCTGAAAAAGCATTGTGAAGTGATTTGCTTTCTACAGCTGGGTTCAAGAATTAAATGTTGGTTTTGGATTTCTGCTATTTTACCTATTGAGCCTGGAAGTATTTCTACTGAAAGTCAGATAGTTAAGAAATTGGTTTCTGTGTTCTGGAGTTGTGGCTGTGCTGGAGAGCCGCTCGCGGGGGGCAACCGGTGGCCTCGGTAGGGCGTGAAGGGCGGAGCGAAACGCCCCCCTTCCCATGAGGTTTTAGTCGCCCCCACACTCCCGGCTCATACCTGCTGTCCACAAGGCTCCCATGTGGCCGCCATCTTTCTTTCCAGAGAGGAGAGGGCGAATGGGGCAACACCCTTTCGGACTGGGGAATTTTCAGATGTTATTCCTAGTGGTTCTTAGAGGTAACATTTGTTTTATGCTCAGGGATGAGCCCCTATCAGCCTCATGCAAGGTAAATGCCCTACCTGCTCTTCTCTCTTCTAACCCACTAAGAATGTCTTTGCTTTTCAGTTTAAACAGTGGATGAATGAGCCCATAACTAAGCTAATTTGAGCCTGAGAGATAGCACAGCAGGGAGGGTACTTGCCTTTCATGCATCCCACGTAGGCTGAATATCTTGCATTGCATATGGTCCCCCTGGTATCACCAGGTCTGGTTAAAAAACAAAACCCTGATTAAAAAATAAAACCCAGGGGCTGGAGTGATAGTACAGCAGTTAGGGCATTTGCCTTGTGTGTGACCAACCCGGGTTCAATTCCCAGCATCCAATATGGTCCCCTGAGCACAGCCAGGAGTAATTCCTGAGTGCAAAGCCAGGAGTGCATTGCTGGGTGTGACCCAAAAAGCCAAAAAAAAAAAAGCCCCAAAACCCCCAAAAAACGAATTTGGGGAATCCTAAGCTGTTTGCAACAATCTCCACAACAGACCTCATTCAAAGATGTTCCATTACTAATTCTTCCATTTATTACTGTGTTTAATTTCAGAACTCAAGCCACAGTTTCAGGATTTGGCATTGCAGCAGTTTGATTTGGGAAAGAGGTCTCCGAATAGGAGTGAGCTGGTATGATTTGCACGTAGAATATAAATATTATGCTGGCGGGATACAAAATTACACAGGAACAAAATTTTGACTTGAAAGGTGGAGGTTGGGCATTGCAAGGAGGAACTTTGGAGCCTATTGCTGGGAGTAGGGGGTCTGTAGTCTCACCGGGTGCTAAAATCAGTCATATTAAAATGTAAAGATATTCCTATTATTATTATTATTATTATTATTATTATTTTTGCTTTTGGGGTCACACCCGGCGATGCTCAGGGGTTACTCCTGGCTCATGCACTCAGGAATCACTCCTGGCGGTGCTCGGGGAACCATATGGGATGCTGGGAATCGAACCTGTGTTGGCCATGTTGGCTGCGTGCAAGGCAAACGCCCTACCCGCTGTGCTATCGCTCCAGCCCCCCATTAGTATTTTTATTTTTGCATTTTCATTCCCACACAAATGCTGAGGGGTTGGTTCAGGCTTAGCACTCAGGAATTACTCCTGACTGAGCTCAGGAAACCATTGGGATGCCAGGAATCAAACCTGGATCCACCACATGCAATACCATCCCAACTGTACTGTCGTTCAGTCCCAATTCCTACTATCTTTATATGGAAGAAATACTGTGATTTTTCATTTGATAAAAGTAAGTTCAAGAGGTCATTGTTTAAAAGAACTGGTTTGTTGGCCCTAGAGAAAGTGCATTGGGAAGGGAACTTGCTTTACACAAGGATGGAGACTTGGGCTTCTCCATCTCCAGCACCACATATGGTTCCTAGACACCCACCAGCAGTGATCCCTGAGCACCTCTTGGTGTCCCATCCTCAAAATTAATACAAACTATAAAAGAAAAAGAACAAAAAACATTCATTGATCCTACACCCCATGTGGTGAGATGTTTTAGTGGCCTCTGTGGTCCATCTCAGTTGTGTCTAGTTGCAGCGTTGCCTTCACAAGTGCTTCATGGTCTCCACACTGACTAGAACCGAACCCAGACTCAGGTGTATTTTCCTAGAAACTGCTTCTTTGGTGTTCTACAGAGAAACTTATTTCCAATTTTATGTATCTGTTTATTGAATTGACAGCTTAATGACCCCGCGTCCTTCTGTTTTGTGAATCTATCATGTAGAAACAGTAGCTTTTCCATGGAAAAGCCATCTACATGTCAGGAATTGCATTATTTATGATGGAAATGTTAGAAACCAACCTGTAGTGTGAGTTCACAAAGTAAACCACAGAGGCTGCTGCTGCGATGCATGTTGTGTTCGGTGGCCCAGAGCTCCCTCCCTACCTCCCCACCTCCCCAGGGCTCCCCAACAGAGAGACAGGGAGAAGGGGACCACAGCCTGATGGTGAAAATGGCCTGTTTAATGCAGAGTTGCTAGCATACTTAGAGAACATCTGAAAGGTGGTTGAGGTAAGGAACTAGGTGTGATTGGTTATTTACATAGGCAAACATTTGGCAGAGGAAATTCTCTTGGGGAGATCAACTCAAAAAGACACTGTCTCCCAGGAACATCTACATTGCTTTTCTCTTTCCCTCTAGTTGCATGTTATCAATCCTTGCAATTGTTTGGATAAATACAGTAAGAGACAAAGATCTCAACACTTAGTCCTCTAGGCTGAGAGCCCTCCCGTTGATCGTCGATTTGCTCGAGCGGGCCCAGTAACGTCTCCATTGGAGGCTTTGTTGTTACTGTGTCTGGCATATCGAATACTCTCGGTAGCTTGCCGGGCTCTCCGAGAGGGGCGGAGGAATCGAACTCGGGTCGGCCATGTTGGCCGCTTGTAAGGCGAACGCCCTACCCGCTGTGCAATCGCTCCAGGCTGAGAGCAAGCAAGGCTTTTACCATAAATCCCAGACTAAGTCCTCAGGCCAGTTCAGCTTGTCCTTCCCCATGGGGATCCTGTCTCTTAAGTTGTAACAGTTTGCATCAAGACCATGCATTTATGCTTTCTAGAATGTCCTGTTTCAATGCCAGGTAGCTTTGCCACTCACCCCGGGTCCATCCCATCCCCACAGCGGGACCTCCCTTTTGGAGTGTTAGGAACTACAGCAACTGATGCCTGAGTCAAGTAATTATGACCAAGTAATTATACCCAGGATTAGATGCCTTTCAGGGTCAACCGACTCCCCAATATTAGGAGCATAGCATTAATGGTCTTTCTGTGTTTAACCAAAGAACATTGCTCTCCAGTAAAATATAACAAATATACAGCACTTTAAATACAAAGCAGTACAAATACAAGTTCAGAATTATCAGAACGTTTTGGCTTACAAGTAATCAAGACTGACTTGAGGAACTGTGACAATGAGCGGTAAAATACAAGGGAAAGGTTTTAAAGATAAACTTGAACTAAGTTAGGGATGCTAGCAAGAACATGTTAAACTTCTTTGGGAGGAAGAAAGGGGGCAATTCACTGAGGAAGCCTAAAGCACTTAGGGTCAATATCCATCCAAAAGGAAAGGTTGAAGGTAGACTTTAACCAAATTAGGGATGTTAACAAGGGCATGGTAAGCTTCTCTGGGAGGAGGAAGGGGGCAGTTCACCAGTGAAGCCTAAAACACATAGGGTTGATATCCACTACTGCAGGCATTAGTTTCTTTTGACAGTGTGACTCTTAAGGAATGGAACAATAATTGGAACCCTTCTCTGCTGTTCTACAGGGAAGCAGCCAGCCTGCATGGAACGTCTCTGATCCTGTGCACTGTGGGAAAGTCTCAAGTGAGCCATCGTGCCCACAGCCCCATGGGGATGCAGAGATAGGCGGAATGTTCTCTAAGGGTGATCAGAATGGAGAAAACCTCATTCTGAAGAAGCCCTCCCCTGGGAAGAGCTCCTCACAGTCTGTTGTCCTCAGTTTTTGGACACAACCTCCCACAGTGGGGCAAATCCTAGACTGTGGGAGAGGAGCACTGTTTATAGAGAGTCCCTCACATCAACACACCCAAGAGCAAAGTCACCACAAACTGAACCCATCTAGGAGTAACCATTGTTCGGGAGCCTTCCTGTGTTCTCAGCATCGTGATGTTTCCTTAGAAACCCACAGTGGTCAGAATGCCCAGGATTGTCAGCAGCAAGGACAGACTTTGAGTCAGGTGTCACCCCGGGGTGACAGTCCAAACATCCAGACCGGAGAAAAACTCTACATGTGTAAGAACTGTGGGAAGGCGTTCACTTCCCCCTCAAACCTTATTACACATAGGAGAGTTCATACTGCAGAGAAACCTCATGCGTGTGAAGAATGTGGACAGGTCTTTACTCTGTCCTCGCAACTTAGTGTTCACAGGGAACTTCATACGGGAATGAAAACTTACACGTGTCAGGACTGTGGGAAGGCCTTTACTTGCTACTCAAACCTTTCTCATCACAGGAAAAGTCATTCTGGAGAGAAACCATATTCGTGTCAGGATTGCGGGAAGGTCTTCGCTTATCCCTCAAACCTTTCTAGGCACAAGAAAAATCACACTGGAGAGAAACCATATATTTGTAAGGAATGTGGAAAGGCCTTTGATTATCCCTCAAGCCTTATGAATCACAGTACAGTTCATACTGGAGAGAAACCTCATAAATGTAAGGCGTGTGGAAAAGCCTTCTCTGATGGATCAGTACTTACTAAGCATAAGAGAACGCATACGGGAGAGAAGCCTTATGTTTGTCAGGAGTGTGGGAAGGCCTTTAGCACATCCTCAATTCTTACTGTACATAGAAGAATTCACACTGGAGAGAAACCTCATAAATGTGAGGCATGTGGAAAGGCCTTCACTGAGGGATCCGTCCTTACTAATCATATGAAAACTCATACGGGAGAAAAGCCTTATGTATGTCAAGAGTGTGGGAAGGCCTTTAGCAGATCCTCAGTACTTACTATTCATAGGAGAATTCACACCGGAGAGAAACCTCATACATGTAAGGCATGTGGAAAGGCCTTCGCTCATGTGTCAGGTCTTAATGAGCATATGAATACGCATACTGGAGAGAAACCTTATGTATGTCTGGAATGTGGGAAGGCCTTTGGAAGATCCTCAATACTTACCATTCATAGGAGAATTCACACTGGAGAGAAACCGTATAAATGTAAAGAATGTGGGACAGCCTTCAGTAGCACCTCCAGCCTGCATCAGCATAGGAGATTTCATACTGGAGAGAAACTTTTTGCATGTGAGGAATGTGGGAAAGCATATTCTCATTCCTCAAACCTTTTTAGTCATAGGAAAACTCATACGGAGAGAAACTTTATGTTTGTAAGTAACGTGGGAAGGCCTTCTCTGAAACTTGGTACCTAAATAAGCACTTTGTAGAGGATCATACAACCTCATCAATGTCAGACATGTGGGAAGGCCTTCACCGGGCACTCAGATCTTAGAATGCATCTGAAAATACACTCTAGAGAGCACTCTCAAGTAGTAAAGAATGTGATAAAATTCACACTGGATGACTCAATCCCGAAATAATCCCCAAGGTCAGAACAGGCTGCCTTCAGTAAAAAATATTTTGCCTGGAAAAGATTGTTGGGAGATTGCAAAAGGACAGCCAAGAAAAAAAGAACTCTGGTAGCCTGTGTGAAGTTCCCGGTGACGTCAGTACTATAAGGGAAATGTAGTTGCTCATTATCACCTATGCCTCAACTATGCCAGTGTCCTGGCATTTGGACTTGATGTGTATTTTAACTTATAAATAATGGATCATGGTGATGGAAGCCAGTGGAAGGTGATTCAATAAGAACTAAATAAACGGTTACAAAAACCACCCCTCTGGCAGAGCTGCCACTGTCTCATTCTTTGGCCGGACTCTGGCTTTGCTCAGAGGCCCTAGTTTATGGGGTTGTTTGATAGAGATCAACCGGGATGTTACAGTGAATCCTTTGGAATTGGAAGGATGGGCAAACTTTCATTCTTCAGGACTTCCTGTGTTACGTTTTGGGGAGCCACACCTGCTTTGTTCAGGCCATACTCCTGGCTCTGAGCTCAGGAATCCATACCTGCGAGGATAATAGTTATCCTTATGGGCTACTGGGCTTGGAATCCACATCAGCCTTGTGCAATCAGGTGCCAACCCATTGTATTATCTCTGCACTCCTTGTATTCAGATTTTTATTAGATTGATTCTGATGCTCACAGTTCTGACTTCTCCAGGTCTTTGGACAGAGTTTCCTGCTGATTCTCGGGAATTAGAAGCTGGAGACAATGGTGATACTCCATGACACACTGTCCCCAGGTAGGAGGAGAGTGACAAGATGAGGTGATGCAGTGACTGGGGTGCATAGGCTTCCAGAGCCCTCTGTCTCTGAGTTGATTCTGGAAAGAGCCCTGGGATGTTGCTCCTGTTCAGAGTGACCGACTCTCTGTTGTTGGAGGCAACATTTTCCCTGTTTGTTTTGTTGTATTTGTGTTTGTGGCTACACCTAATGGTACTTGAGAATTAATATAAGCACAGTGCTCAATATTCAGTCCTGCCAGGTCTCAGGAACACTATGAGGTGCTGGAGCACAAGGCTGTTTTCTACAGATATTTTTGTTTGTTTTGGTAGGTGATGTGGGCAACACACCCCATGATTCTCAGGCTTCCTCCTGGCTCTGCACTTGACATTGCCCTTGGCAGTGCTTGGGACACCATATGGGACAGTGGGGATTGCCAGCCGTACCCGCTGCCCCTGTACTTGCTGTACTGTTACTCCATCCTGCTGCTTTCTTTTCTTTTGTATTTATTTTTTGTTCCTCAGTGGATTTTCTTAGGTCTTCCTTGACTCAGTGCTCCGGATTCACCCTTAATGGGCATCAGGGTACCCCCAGGGCATGCTTGCCCCGTATGTTCCCTGGCAGCTACAATGACTAGAGCTCCAGGACATAGATTTCCCATATTTTGTCCTTTTCACCCTAGAAAGCCTTGCATGTGCCATCACAGTCTCCCATTCACTCGTTGCTGTGTGTAATTCTACAAACGCACAGGTCCCAGGGAGATGAAGCAAAGGTGTCTGGCAGGTATCTTTATTTATTTTTTTTTTTTGCTTTTTTGGGGGTCACACTCGGTGATGCACAGAGGTTCCTCCTGGGTCTGCACTCAGGAATCACCCCTGGCGGTGCTCAGGGGACCATATGGGATGCTGGGAATCAAACCTGGGTTGGCCGTGTGCAAGGCAAATGCCCTACCCGCTGTGCTGTTGCTCCAGTCCCCGGCAGATGTCTTTAGTATCAAAACACTTTTACCTGCTTCAAGAGGGATTCGAGGAAACAGTGAACCATGTTTCAGAGTCCTACAGGTACATATGTGTCCTACAACATATTTTGCATCACTCGATTACCAGTTAATGTTGCCTCCTCATCCCTAGTGATCTCGAACTGTGGGGTGCAAGGTGTGTGTGTGGGTAGGGTTTTTGGCTTCACCCAACCTTGCTTTGTCAGTTCCTCTGGGTCTGTGCTCAGGTATTGCCCTCTCCAGTGTTCATGAAAGCAGTTGTGCTGGGATTGGCCCTGGGGTGTGTTTGTGCAAGGCCTGAACTTCAAGGAATCTTCTAAGACAACAATCCTAACATTTTACCAGATCTGGCCAACTTAGACTGATTTCTAATTGTGTGTGGAAGCTGCTTCTCAAGAGGAGAGGTCCTTAGCTCCTCTATGGGGCTGAGGAGTTCTGTCTTCATTACCTTGGATGCAGGGTGGGCAGGGCACTGAGTGCTGTTCCCCTGTTTTCCCATCTCAGGATGCAGTAACCTTCCCCAACATAGCTGTGAACCTCACCCCAGAGGAGTGGACGTGCCTGGATGCCTCTCAGGGTAAGCTTTTCATGGATGTGATGCTGGAGACCTACCAGCACTTGCGGGCCGTCGGTGAGAGCCACAGGTTGAAGCCTTTGCCAGACAGACCTGTGTGGGATTCTGGGGCTTGGACTTGGGCTGTGAATTTGCAGGGGCCGTGATTCTCATGGCCAAGATGTTTGACAGCCATGCATATCCCTGTTTCTCTTGGTCCTTTCTTTTATTCTGTTTTTGTTATTGGGCCACACCTGGAGGTACTGAGGAGTTATTCCTGGCTCTGTACTCAGGGAACACTCTTGGTGACTCTGGGGCCAAATGGAATGCAGGAGATAGACTGGGATCTGCCACATGCAAGTCATGTGCCCTGTGCCCCCTACCATCACTCTAATAGTTCCTTTGCTGAATTAATTTCTTATACTACACTTCAATGTGTTCATTTTGGTTTTACTTTGGATTTTGATTTGGGGCTACCATTCACATTCCTCCTGGCTCTGTGCTGAAAGGTCACCAGTGCTCAGGAGCCCATGTGGTGGGTTTGTGGATTAACTTGGTTAGTAGCCTGCAAGGCTGGTGCCTTACCCACTGTACTCCTGCACCAGGATCGCAACTTCATTTATTGTTGTTGTTGTTGTTTTCTGTTTTGATTTGATTTTAGGGCTACACTCGTCATTGCTCAGGGATTGCTCTTGGCTATATATTGAGGACTTTCTTCTGGCAGTGCTCTAAGACCATGATGTGGATCCAGGACTCCGTATATGTGTGTGTCAGGCACGTGTCCACCCTGCTGGACTAACCCTGTGGTCACTAATTTCTTTCTTACTTAGGGTCTCACACAGTCAGACATCACTCAGTGCTTGGGGTCACTTCCAGTGGTTCTTGGGAGACTTCAGCATGACTCATTTTATTTTCACTCTTAAATTGAATCCTGGGTTTTATGTCCTCTCTGATAACCACCAATCTGGTGCATAACTTAAGTGTAGATTCTGTTCATTCCTTTTAAATATTTTGCTGAGTTTTATTAGGGACACAGAGGATTGGTCTGTCACCTTTTCTGTGTCACTAATCCATATTCTGTCTCTGTGGGGTTCAGGGCATTCAAGGGCATGGGAATCCTGCAGTGATCTGCCTGGAAAGAGGAGCCCTGAGACCAGGAGGAAAAGTGTGTGTGCAGGTGAGTGTATGAGGACCCTCCCTGGCTCGGGCCCTCCCTGGGCAGTATGGTGGTGCCCTGTGCTTGTGTGAAAGACACTGCTGACACTGGTGACCTCAGGCTCTTGGATCCATGCATCTGTGCTGCGCTCATGCTGCCCTTCACTCCCCTGGGCTGTCCCTTATGGAATGATCCTGTGTTTTCTTTCTTGGTTTTATCATTGTTCTTCTTCATCTCTGAGGCATGTGGAACAGTTCATGGGATTCTTAGCCCTTCCCCCCACCCTTCTAGCCTTGCCAGCCTGGCTGTACATCCTGTAATTTTGGGGTGTCACTTTCAGGAGTTGATGGACGCCCCTGTGTCCTCTTGTCATTCATATATCTGTCTTCGGATCATCATGGTAGTTTACGATACTAACAAATTTATTTATTTACTTATTTTAGGCCCAAGGATGCTCAGCCTTTATCCTGGCTGTTCTCAGGTTACTTTGGTGGTGCTCAGGAAGTAGCCCCTGTCAGCCTCATGTGAGGAGAATGCCCTACCTGCTGTTATCTCCTTTCCATTAAGAATTATTTTTTGTCTTTATGTTTAAAGAGTGAATGAGTGAGCCATAGCAAAGCTAATTTAAGCCACAGAGATAGTACAGCAGAGAGCGTGCTTACCTTGCATGTGACCGACCCAGGTTGAATCCTTGGCATCCCATATGGTATCCCTGATCATCACCGGGTCTGGTGAAAAATAAAAACCCAAAATCTAGTTTGGGGATTTCCAAGCTCCTCACAGTGATCCTCCCAACAAACCTTCCCTTTGGTGTCAGCTCGTTTGGAATATGAGAACTGTATAATATGAGAACTGATGTCATCCATCTGCTCAGCCTCATCTAGGTATCTTCCATTTGACATTCGACTGATTCTTATTGAGTATTGTATTTGATTTCAGAATTCAAATCCCAGCTTTAGGATTTGGCATTGCTGCGGTCTGATTTGGAAACGGGGTCACCAAATCTGAGTGAGCTGGTAAGATTTTGTATACTTGAAATAAATGTTATGCTGAGGAATATTCAGTGCACAGTGCATGTGACTTGAAAGGTGGAGATCTGGGCTCAATCCCTGCCACCACATATATGGTCTCTGGGCCCTGCAGGGAGGAAATCTGGAGACTAATGCTGGGAGGAGGGAGCCCACAGCATCACTGGGTGCTAAAATCAGCCATTTTAAAATCGAAAGAAATTTCATCATCATCATCATCATTATTTGCTTTTTTTAACATTATTTTATGATTTTAACTTATTTAAAAAATTTTCGTTAATTAATTTGCCTTTTGTGTCACACCAGCGATGTTCAGGGGTTATTCCTGGCTCTACGCTCAGGAATTACTCCTGGTGGTGCTCACGGGACCATGTGGGATGCCAGGAATAAAATCCGAGTTGGGAGATGTACAAATGAACCTTGGACCCAAGCAACTTGAAACAGAGATGGCCCTGGACTTTGCAATAGGCCGTTTCCACTGGGCAGTTCCAGATGGGGGCAGGTGCTGTCCCACAGCTTGCCCTCTAGGAACTCCGGTGGTCGCCATTTTCTAGAAGCCAGCAATAAGCTCCAGGTATGAGTGACGTGGTGCCAAATGCCAGGACTCACGGAATAGGGGAGGAGCGGGCATTCCTCCTTTCCCCTGCCTTGATGGGACTCTGAGATGAAGCCACACCTGGCCACCATCTACTTAAGCTCCCACACAGCCAGGATCCAGAGAC